ATCCCAGGTTTATCACCTTTGGATTTCTTTATGTGGGGTCATTTAAAAAGCAAAATCTACGCTACTCAGCCAACATCATTAGACCTGCGACAAAGAATTGTGAATGAGTGCCTTCACATTACTCCTCAAATATTGCAAAATGTGCGGCAACGTTTTGAGCAAAATCTTTATTATTGCATGGAGAGTCATGGTGGCCATTTTCAACATTTACTTGCCTAACGGGTCAGTTCATTCTTCATTTTTAAATTACTTTGCTGCCAAATGTATTGATATCCACTAATGATGATGTGTTAGTTTTATTTAAGCTTTAAATCAATAAATCTCCAAAACTACTGAACTGAAGTACATTAATTTTATATCATTATAATGGGAATTGAAAGACCTTTAAAATAAGGTATCACTCGACCGACCTTTCCGTTTAAGATTTTGGGGGTGGTGTCACTCCCGCTTAGGGGGCTGCACGTGCTAACGTGATTTTTTGCCCAACTTATGTCCCCCTCGAAAACAAAATGGACGGGTTTTTCAAAAAAAAACTGAGCTGCCAGTAAATGCGTCTGTTTCGTTTTCGACGCGCCACCCTGTATATCATCACCAGTAACTGGTATCATTAGAGGCAGTATTCAGTCATGACATGCCAGAAGTAAACAGTATTATACTTACATATTAGTCAACCCTCTACTGCATTGTAGACATAGTATTGCTGGGTATTGTTGCTCCTGCATCCAACGGTCGCCGTAACATTAGAAGTGGCGCATTCGTGGTCACCGAGGTTTATTTTTTAGAAAATACGTCTAATTGTCACAGTCTCATGGTTTGAGGTATCCAGTTGTAATATGAAATATAGTATAGTAATATATGAGTAATATCTTTATTGTACATTATTCCAAAACATAATAAAACTTTGGTACCTCTGAACGATGAAATACCCTCTATAATATTATAATACTTTTAATGAGTCTTTCTATGTAGCATACAATGATCTGTTGATAATTATTTGCCAGGCATTTGTCCAGTAAAAATACATTCTATTCCACAACTTTTAGGCCACCCTCTGTTTTACTCCCATATTTTTTTGAGGACATATCCACATCTATCTCTGTCTCTGCATGAGATCTCTCACTACAGGAGTGGACTGTTCTCAATGTCCTTTGCTAACGCCTAAAACGACTGGTGGGCTATCAAATGTGAGCGTTTTCGTACATTGAGTCACTTTTCTCTCATCAACTAATTATGAAAACAGCATAGTAAGTTTTATCAATCTTCATTCTTTTAAGGGTCCGCCCGGACATGCAATTAAATATGGTACCCAGATAGACCCAACCAAAAGAATAAATTTGATATAGCGCTTTGATGCCTGGTTGTTGAGTTATAAGTGATTTAAATTTGACAGCCTGACAGTCAGCCATTTTAAGAGTTAGTGGCTTCCTATTCTAGAGCTATTTTCAAACTGAAGTATCACATGACCTCCATTTAATAAATGTCATAAGTTGACGCTCAGTGGCCATCTTGAGATTTACAACTGTGACTATTACGCCAAAAATAAATTACTATTCATACATCAATTTCATCGCCCCGAATTTCATCTTGCTACCGTGATCCGTTCAAATAATAAGTATTAGAGGATGTTTTAAAATCACTGTTTTCGAACCACATGTTTAAAAACAAGACATAATACTTAACAGCTGTCAATGTTTTCTCCCAGAGGGTCAATTTTGAAGTGGGAGTGCGAAGTGTGCGTTGCTCTATTATTTGCTTACTAAAGCCAGGTCCGGTAAGCTCCTGCTATCTTGCTCCGAGTAGTACCTCCATAACTTATGCAAGTACCTACCGCATCAAGTCAGGAAGCGGCCTCAACGTGACGTCATGAAGCAATTCCCTTGAGCATTCAGCAGATATAATGAGAACGTAGGCGTGCTCGTATGTGTTAAAGAAAGACTGTAGACCAATCACATTACCACGGACACATATACACACGTCTCCCGAAATGGAGAACTTTCATTTAAATAAATTCATAACGAGTTATTTACAACACTTGGATAATAAATTTAGTTTTTGCGGCAATTGCATCTAAGTCATTTCCTTCACATACAGAATAACAAACTAATTTACAGAATATCGATTTTTCGACCTAGAAGTGAAGTGCTCCAGAATCTATTGTTTAGTGGAAAAGTTGTTAGAACTTTTTTACTTTTATTTGAAAGTAAGTAGACTCTAAAATGGACAGACAGAAACATTCGAAAACAGTTTGAACTAGAATAGAGACACATCCAAAATAAACAATGGTCAAAATACATATACGGGTAGAAAGGACCTTTTCGGGATGTTTTGGTATTTGGTAGTGATCATTCACACTTACAAAATGTATAAAAACATAATATTCCAAACTGATAATTTTTACGGTCACAGATACGCGTAGCCAGAAACTCACAATGCGTTACTGTTACTGAGAATTTTCAAACCTGTTTAATTGAGATTTTTACAAGTAGATGCGTATTTCTATAATTAAGACTTTGCAACCCCTACAAGTGACGTTTTGTAAGGTTTCGACATATTATGGTTTTGCAATTCGTACAAATCTCTCCTGGCCGGACCCGATTATGGGAAACTGGGTAAATGAAAAGCCTTCATAAGTGATAAAAAATCCTAGGTCTCTTGAGAGCAGAGTAAATGAATACGCTTGACCTAACATAATTCTGTTGGGGATGTATGGTCGGAGAAAGGTTACTGCAATATTGTTCTTTAACTTACCGAAGAGTTTCGGATCCTGCGCTGGAACATTTTCGAAAAACTTTTGATTTTTGATTTTCTGTTACGGTTTTGTTGCTTGAAGTGCTACAGTAGTTCTACTTGTGATATCTTCATATTTACGCTTGTGAACGAAATTAAGCCAGTTTTCTTGGAGCTGCCATAAACCTATGCGTAAGTGCTCGAATGCAGGGTCTTTGAACCATTTGATTGATGGAACGGTTTTTGGAGCCATTGACCCTGTTATTAATATAAATTACCAAAAATTCATAGAAAAAGCTGAATTTTAACGTCAATGATCTAAAATTGCTCCAAAACATTCATATCGTGGAAATGTAATTGGCACGCTGCACCATCTTGCTGAAACACAAAATCTTGGCCGGATGTCAAACATTCTTCCATCACTGGTAAAAGCGATTCTTCTAAAATTGCCAAATATTTGTTTGTATCCACATTTCCATCAATAAATGAAGTTTTCCTACTCCTTTTGATGACATACTGCCCCAGATCATAATGGATGCTGGAAATTTCACTTTTCTCTTCAGACAGTCAACATGGAATGCTTCATTTTTTTTGCGAATAACTCTACTGCGACTGTCACCAACACAAAATTCGAATCGGGCCTCATCACTCCATTGTATTGCACACCATTGTTGAGGTGTCCATTGTCTATGTTCTTTGGCCCATCTAAGCCAATTTTTCTTTTGCAGTGGAGTTAATAGTGGCTTTAGTTTGGCCTATAAACAAGTTGTGCAACTTTAGGGTTTTTACTTCACTTTTTTTTATAAGAAAACTTACCTTGCAAGTACTAAATCCTAGTTTGTGGGCCTCTCTATGAGTTGTGGACCTCGAAATTCACCTTCCAACAGCGTCACTCCACAGAGCACCTCATTGTAAATAATTGGCACGCCTGTTTTTCACGATCATTCTTCTTAATGCTCTTCGGTCGGCATTTGTGATATTACTTTTTTTCACATATCGTTAATATTAATTGAACCAGTTACGTTATATCTTCTAACAATATTTCTCACACTGTACCGCGATAAGTCTAACAAAGTTGCAATTTCTGAGTTTGATTTCCCAGAATTAAAAAAATTAATTATTAGTAACCGAATTTTCTCACTAATAACCTTTCCTCTACCCATTTTGAAAACCTTAACTGCCCAAAACTATTTTAAACGTATTCTGACAGCTGTGATTAATAAAAACAATTGTCATGGCTTTTATTTTTCACAGCCACCTATGCGTTATAGACTTATTTTGCATTGAAATGAAAATAGGTTGATATGCTGCAATTGCAACAAGTGTTATTTTTATGCTGCAATTTTTTTTAGGGAGTGATAAAGTTCATGTTTTCTATTATATATTATAAAAATATTCATTGTTAATATTTTAAACCTATAACACCCTTCTATATTTTTATTATTTGTGTTTGATAAGAAAAAACTAAAATTTCAATAGTTGGGCCAACTCAAGTATATATATATACTGGCGTTAAATGGCATTTATACAGCATTAAAATAGAGTGTTCTGCCGCGAACCTCTCCTGCTCGCACGTATTGACTCATTGTTGAGTGCCCAGTCGACTGACCAATAGAAGCACACCAATTTGATAAATGAAACCCTGTTAACGATGCGTGATAATATTTGAATAGGTTTTAGCGATGCTGGGGGTGATATTTTCCTGTCATTCAAAATAATGTTTTTACAACCTCCCTCCCCAACTCCAGAGTTGAGACCTGACCAATGGAATCAATGCGCTTCTAACAAATCTATTTCAAATGATCTTTACAGCGTTTATATATACCAATTAAAATAAGCATAACGATTTTTTGTACTCAACTGAGCCGATTTACGTAGGGACTAAGGACTGTTCTTAGAAAATTGATTCAATCCAGTGAACGAACGTGGATATGAAAATATCACATTGTAGCTGATATAGCAACTGACAAAGTTGTCTTCAGAATTTTTTCTACCGTCACAAAAATCAAAAAGTTTTCAACAAATTTGAGTGCATGCTAAATAATAATATTTCAATAGCCTAATTCGAAATTTTCATCCATATTAGAATTTTTGTGAGGTTCCGGGAAATTTTGTAGTCCCCTTACTGGGCTAATACATGTTCCACTGAATAATAAATCATATTTAGTGTTGATCAGACTAAACGTGCTGGATTAGAGAACCAATTGACTAGTTTCAGAAATTGTAAACATCTATTTTCCAAACAAGCATTAGAAGCAAAATCAAATACTTACATATTTCATTACCTACTCGACACAATAAAAACGTAGACAGCGTTTTAGTGAAGTCCATTATAAAAAATTCCCGTTATCAACAAATTACTACGAGACGAGGGAGCCGCTTGAGTCATTCGCAAAAATTAACAACACCAAGCGGTATAGTGCTTGACTTAGGTATCCGACATTAAAGTGGACATTAACCTGTCTGAAATCCAATTTATAATAAATGTTCCTAATTTGCACGATTAAGTATATAATTTCCATTTTGCACTTGCTAAAGCTACGCACTGCAAACTGGCCAATAGAGACAGACTGATGGAACTGAGTGACTTACATTGTTGTTAAGACTTCAAAAATTATCCGAAAATATTACATTTTCCGTGAGTTTACGCACGGCAGAAAAAAATTAATTCACTTTATAATTGCATTCTTGATCATAGATAATGATTTGTGGAGCTATCCCCACGTGAGAACATGTAATCTGTTACGTGGACAACGTAGGTAGCGTGCGGTGTATTGATACAAATTTTTAACTGTCTCTCCTTATATCTATACATCATAAGGTTGTTGAAACTACGTGAGAGTTATCTTTTGTAGAAAATTTTATTGTCTACTAAAAATGATACTAATCTTCATGCGCTTAGTTTGTTAATTTAGTCACTTTAAGCGAAAGTATCATTCATCTATTTTTATAGAAGCAATTTGATAAAAAATTTGATTTAGTACAAAATCGATTCTTTTACTTTTTTACATATGTTCGAGGATTTTCGACATTTTCGATCAATATCTGTTTTCTTGGTAACCTTGATATGTTACTAATGCGTATTTTAAAATTATTTTAATATGTACAGGATGTTCCATAACTTTGTGCTATAGCAAAAATGTATTTTTTGAAGAGAATACCTCATATTTAATTGCATATTTGCATAGAGCTTCTGAAAACAAGAAGTTTTATATCACATAACAGAAATGTCTGAAAAAACGCCTTATTAGAGGGTTCACAGCTCTGCCGTTTTTGAAGATATTTAGATAAATTTTAGTTCACAACAGTATTATTATCATCGATTTTGAGCTCACCTGGAAGAAATGCTGAAATAACTTTATATTTATGCAGTGTATCTCAAAACGCAAAACGTACCTTTTCATATAAATTTAAAATAGAACGCCCTGAATATTTTTACATCATTAAATAGCTTCCCTTGAGAACTTTTTTGATACGAGGGTTATTTTACTTTTTTCGAAAAGCTTTCGAGTTATTGCTATTAATTCGAAGAAAAAACAAATATATTCAACACTTAGTCTTAAAATTATGCAAACAATGCATTTTTTTTCCAGAGAACAAGACTCAGAAATTGTTGCAATACATTCTAAGTAGTTAGGTATGTTCCCAGATGTTTGATCTCAGAATTCTATTTTTTTTCACAATCGCGTTGTTTCAGCAACTTGGGTAAGCTCTTTTACCAGAGAGTGTAAATTTAACAGCTAGGAGAAATTTGTGGCACTAACATGACGGTGTCTTACCACATTACCATCAAGCGGTACGGGAGTATCTACGTATAGATTGCTGGCGCCCTAATAGTTAGATAGGGACAGGTGGACCGTTCAGTGAGATATCCGTATCTCACGTCTCTCGACTTCTTTCTCTGGGGCCATGAAGTTTACCAGATAAAACCTACAACATCCGAGGACATGAAACATCGTATATGCGAGTGTGCTAACAAAGCTATTGTTTTGATAAAAGAGTTGATTTCAAGTTTAAATACAAGATGTGTTTGGTTTTTCCTGAAATCAATAGCAGTAACCAAAAAACGTTTGAAAAAAAGTTGTATAAACCTTATATCAAATGAAAGTTCACAATCAAAACAATTTAACGATGCAGACGGTAACGGTGTATACAGGGTGTTCGATTTGAAGTTTTTGAGAAAAGGTAAATTTTGCATTTTGAGATAGCCTGTAAAAATAGAGTCGATGATCATAAAATTTTTATTGAAATATCTAAGTTGGGAAATTTTTCAAGCATTTGAACAAATACCTAAGCAAGTGACAACAGAAACCATATCTTATATGATATAAGACATCTTGTTTTTAGAAGCTCTATTCAAAAATATAATGAACTACAAGGTATTCTATTTGAAAAGTATATGTTATTGAACACCCTTTATTAAAATGATTTTGAAATATGCCTTAGTAACATATCAAGGTTACCATGAAAACAGATTTTCGATATATTTTCCAATTTGCTCATAATACTACCTTCCATTTTCATTAGAACAGGCTGTATTGGATATATGATGACTTAGAAGGTATTTTGGAACGCTATAGTTTCCGTAAGCTTTTCTTAACTATATACAGTATAACTGCCCATTAATCTTTTCTACAAGCCTACTTAAATATGCCGTGGTATTTTTGACAAGATATGAAACTTATGGCTTACAGTTAGGTCGATTGCTATTCGTACATCAATTGGACAAATTTTTTACTGATAGTTTATCTTCAACGATAAATCATTTGGAAAGGCATCCTTTGAAGTTGATTGAGAAATAACAAAAGATTACGTCCTAAAAAAGTAGTATAGCCTCAAAAATCATTTAATATAAGTGTATTCAATTTCATTTCCTTAAAGTACTGCCTAAAACTAGCCAATCGCATGCTGTTTGACAATTAAGATGATCCGAGTTTTTTTTATTAAATTACAGTGATATCTAATATTAGTTGAACACAAAATATTGTAATTCCACCTTAGACTTCATTTTAGTTTAAACTGTCCTTATACTGACACGTTCACCTTATATTTAGCTGCACACCGCACGAATACAGTACGATCGCATATTTGTCACTAGTAGATGACGTCACATAGTATCAAACGCAAATACGTTTTTGATTAGAACAAAAAAGTCGGTATGTTCGCCGCCATCGCCGCTAGGCCGTGTCGTCTGACAAATAGGATTTTGATGATCGTAGCATGGTCGTACTACGGTCGTACGGCACAATTGTACCACTATCAGCACCGTTAGACGGTCCATTCCGTTTCAGGCTAATTAACACTTACGTATCTGTTACACATTAATTGACACATTGACATATGTTTCGACGGTCCTTTCACTGCGCACCAATCTAAATGAGACACACGTGTCCAACCTAATGCAAAATTATTTTTTGTACTATCACGCAGATTTTCTCAGCGCTTTTTAAAGTAGATCCTTCTTTTCTTATATAAATGTGTGATAGCTACTGCACTGAACTTAGTTTATTTCCGAATACTTTCAGCCCTTTTTGTACCATATTTTATTTATGTATTTGCTCCAATGTTCTTTTCACCTGAACTGTATGTTGCAATTAAACATTATAATTATTCTTCAAATCTTGAAGATCTAACTACTTGTAGAGCAGTCAAGGAAAAAATAGTTAACGTATGTTTTACATCTCAACACATGTGGTACAGAATTGTCCATTTGTCCAAATCTTTTCCACGGGTAATTTTTGAGATACTACGCTTCCAAGCTGAGTCGTCCATATCTATGGCAGTGTCACGCAGCTTCTTCAGTTGACGGTACAACTACCAACAAGAAAGAAATCATCCATTTAAATCAGTGGAATATGTAGTAAAGCAGTACAAAGAGTAACGTAATGCACCGACAAATGAGGAAGGTGTCTCATGTGTATGCTAGTTTATACTAAAACTGGTTTCCGTAGTGGGAAATTGTTTGTACATGATGACGCTATAACTATACCTCGTTGCTGTTTCGCCCTACCTGTGTATCTGAGTGATTTGGAATTCTACTTCTGTGCAGTTATTAATGAAACCTTGAAATGTCATTGCGCAGATTCAGCAAATTTCTGAACCGCGCAGGAATCTCGTTGGAATATATTGACGCGTTGTCGATCAACGGCGTATGCAAAATATAGCACATGAACAGGAGAGCACTAAAGTCTCTATTATAGATCACAATACCTCTTAAACTGTATTTCATAATTTTGACATTTAATTGCAAAAAAAACAATATGTTAGAAGGTATTTCTCAGCAAATTTCGAAATTCATGTCCTGAGCCATTGATGCTAAGTTGCATGGATTTATCATCAATTTAACATTTTTATTATATCAATAAGTTTCTACACTAATACTTTAAAAGCAAAAATTTAGGTAATATATTGACCCAAAAATAATACGAATTTATTAGTCTAGAAGTCAATCCCTCATCTCGTCCCTGGGTCCGAAATTAATAATAAAAAATATATACAATCAAATCTGTTCATATTCTCATACTGCTAAAATATTTGGTAATAAGTATGGATTGTATAGTCAAGCTTTCATTGCTTAAAAATAAATATGCATATAAAAATCCATTTAAACATTGTGTCCCTTGAAATAAAATCATTCCCTTACCCATTATAAATATTCGATTTGTGGTCACACCATTTAATATTTTTGAACTCAGCTGTTATGGTTTTAAAACTTGACAATACTGCTAATAATGTCAACATGGCGGAATTTCGTAATAGTGAAAAGAGTTGCTGCAAAAAAGTATCTGATTTCAATAATTAGAACATTACATATCTGTATATCATTACCTCACTGTTTATATTGAAAGGTAAGTCATTGTATTGTTCGAATGTTTTGATGATTTTTTTGTTGTTTTGGGGAGTAAAATGCATTCACAAAATGTTAAATCAATTTGAGGTGATGTACTGTAGGTTACGGTGTCGTTTATGCAAGTCTGTCATTCCCTCATGGTCATTCGCTCACTATATTAGAAAGTGAGGGAATGAAAATTATATGAAGAAATGATTTTTTAATACATAAAATTATGGTTTGGGTGTTATTGTTTAACTCCAGGTTGTATAGCATGTGTTTTCAATTTTAACAGATATCCGTATATCAAGAAAGTGAAAAATGAAGAAGTAAAGTATGCGCCCACAGAAGAGAAAGGACAAGAAGTTAAAGAATAATTCTACGCCCAACTAGATGAAATTTATGATCGTATACCAAGGTATGACTTGAAAATAGTAATAGGGGATACCAATGCTAAGATAGGCAGAGAAGAAGTATACTTTCCCACAATTGGAAGAGAGTCTGCATATGGAAACAAATGAAAACGGTCATTTTCTAATAGATTTTTCCAGAGAAAAAGCTATGATTATAAAAAGCACATACTTTGAAAGAAAAGACATTTACAAAGGCACA